ATTGGAGCACCCACAACTTCTGAAGGCAAGCTGTTGATTGTTCTTACTGTCAGGAAATTTCTCCTTAGTTCTAGGTTGCTTCTTTATTTGTTCAGTTTCCATTGAAGAATCCATTGCTTCTTGTACTACCATCTGGTACTTTGAAAAATAGGTTGACTCCCTCTTCTTTGTGGCAGCCTCACAAAAAATGGAACATTGCTATCATGTCACTCCTAGTCCTTCTTTTTACTCTAGTAAAACTCTAGACAAACCCAGTTCCTGCAATCGTTCTTCATATGTTTTAACCCTCAGCCCCCCAATCATCTTTGTAGCTCTTCTCTGCACATATTTATATTATGTATTCCTATTAAACTACCATGACAAACTAGCTTTTATCTATTAAAATATTTTATTTGACCTCTACTTATGCTTTCTTTCCTTTACCTTGCTTTCCTATCAACTATTTAAAATAAGACTTTGTACAGTTCTATATAAGGATAAACCAAATACAATTGTGCTACAAATAAACAAGATTTTCTCTTTTTTTAAGAACATCATTTCCCAATGCTAAACCTGTTCTTCTGCCTAGACTGATTACACATCAATATTTCAGTTGAGTAGGTTGACATTGAATTTTATTGTAGTGATTTATTTTTCTGTATCTATAGTGAATACTTTTGTGATGTTTATTTTTTTAACACAGCACCATGCTTAAAAGAAATATTTTATCCCTTTTAGTTTCAGGGGAAGAGTGAAATAAAAGTACACAGGATGTTAGGTTATTTAACTGAAGGAATTTGTCCACCAAAAGCATTGTAAAAGTGCTTGGGGATTGAAAGCCAGCAATCAAACTCATGTTTTAATCCTGAACACAGGAAATAGATGGATTTAAATGAGTACACAATAAAATTTAAGAGTCATCTCTAAATATGCAGTCAGAAATGCCACATGCTCTGTAAGAATGAAAATACCATGTGAAGTACTAATATGCTTTATACTGCACTAGTAAGACCAAAGACAGATCCAATCTAGAATTAAGGAGACATTTCCGGTCAATGAAAACAATTAAGTGCACAGGCAGGCTTCCAAAACTTGTGAGTGCTCTACCACTGGAGTTTTTTAAGATGCTACTTGGGAGCTATTTGTTGACATGGTATAGGTCTCCTGCTTGAGCAGGGAGTTGGACTAGAAGACCTCCAAGGTCCCTTCCAACTCTTTTAATAACTCTGTTATTCTGTACATACAGGTTTCCATGGGAGTCACCAGTGCTGAAAGACTTCCATTTAAACCTTAACGATGCTGATCCTCTTTCCGAGACTGAGGGAAGTCACACTAGGTACAACATAGATCCTTATTTAAAAGTGCAAAACTATCTATTTTATTATTGGTGCTTTCTGGCCCATTTCTGACAAAACCTAACACACACATGACTAATTAGGGCTAACAGATCTGCACTGCAAAAGTTTAGATGACAGCCAAGAGATACAAAAAAACTGGTGCTACCTAATTGTTGTATGGATTTGTGTCTTGATATCATAATTGAACCATCATTTATTCATTTTTCTTATGCAAAATACAGGTAGTCCTCAACTTACAACCACAACTGAGCCCAAAATGTCTGTTGCTAAGTGACACTATTGTTAAGTGGGTTTTGCCCCACTTTACAACTTTTCTTGCAGCTGTCATAACTATGATTTATTTGCCAAGCATATGAATTTTATCATATGACCATGGGGATGCTGCAACAGTCATAAGTAATTTTTTCAGTGCCCTTGTAACTTCAATCAGTCACTAAAAGAACTGTTGTAAGATGAAGACTACCTGTAATATGGTGGAAAATATTGATGAAGGGACAATATACTTAGTGATCAGTTAAGAAAATGGTAGTGGCCACCTTTTGTCAGGATTCCTTCTGTATCATTTCTGGGATTTGTATAATATTTTTACTCCCTTTTTAAAATGCTTTCATTTTTGCCAGGTATTGGAAACTCCCACTATTATCCAGTTTTAGATTAGCATCATCAGATCATCTCCTTTGTTTGGGTTGTGAGTTGATATTATTCAAGGCTGTTCAAAACTGAAGTCTCGCTTAGAAAGCAGATATGAAAATTGGCAGCCATGTTATGTTTTTGTATCATGTACAACCCCTAAAGTCCACTAAGCTTGTGCAGCCAAACAATGACAGCATAATTTCCTGCCAATTTTCAACAGGAAATAAAAAGGAAATATGTAAAGACTCACCAGAACTTAGCTCAAGAATCTGCTTGGAATAAAGATCACCACCTGAGCATGATTATAATATATTTTATTACCATTAATAGACAATATTTGATAATAAGAAAAAACAGTTTTAGAGATGAGGGATAAATTAGAACCTATAGATAATAAGCTAGTGCAAAAGAAACCAATGGAATGCTGACGTACAGCTTGTTGCATTGAGTATCTATCATCTATCATCTATCCTTTATCATCTAAGCTTTAGCTTGCAAAATATAAAAATAATTGTATTCACTCTGATTAAAAGCACCTGCCAACATCCTAGAAACCATAATATCCTGGTCGTCCTCAACTTAACAACCAGAATTGAACCCAAAATTTCTCTTGCTAAGTGAGAAATTTGTTACATGAGTTTTGCCGCATTTTACAACCTTTGTTGCCACATTTGTTAAGTGAATCATTACAATGGTTAAGTTAGTAACATGGTTGTTAATTGACTTTGCTTGTCAGAAGGTCGCAAAAGGGGATCACATGACCCCAGGACACTGCAACCCTCATAAATATGAGTCAGTTGCCAAGCATCCAAATTTTGATCATATGATTATGCGGTCATAAGTGTGAGAAATTGTCATAAGTCACTTTTTTCAGTGTCCTAACTTCAAACGGTCACTAAATGAACTGTTGTAAGTCGAGGACTACCTGTAATTCTATAAATTAATCTGATGATAAATTAGCTAAAGCCAGCAAAGAACAAAAAAAAACCAACAACAACAACCAAGAAAATCCTTGGCAAATGGCAGCACCTGGCTGACCTTGACTAGGATTAGAAGCTAAACAGGATTGAGCCAGGTTAGTATTTGGATCGGATACCTTAAAGGATAACCAGCACCGTAAGCTAAACAGGGAAGCCAAAAAATAACCTGGAAGAAGACAATAAAAAGCAACTTTTATTCTATTGTCAAGAAAGGTCTTGGACAGGTCCATGAAATCACCAGAAGTTAAGTTTGTGTTGAAAAATAAATTTGTAGTCACCCTTGATCATATGTGAATTATCCAATCATATCTATTTGATGTAGGTTATGAATCCAATTCAGAAAAAAATGTGGGTTTGTGAATACTCAAGCATGCCTTAAACCAGAGGTCCCCAACCTCTTGGGCACCAGGGACCAGTTCCGTGAAGAAAGGTTTTTCCACGGACCAGAGAGTATGATTTTGTGTGCTGCCTACATCCTACAGATAAGACTTTGCTTGTTTGTGCGGACCGGTTGCTGGCATGCTGTGGCCCGGTACCGGTCCACGGATCAGGGGTTGGGGACCTCTGCCTTAAATCACTGAATTGGTTCAAAAGCATCCAATTCAATTTCAAATGTCAAATTGATTCTAAAATTAGAATTGATAATTTCATTTAAAGGGATAATTCAATCAGATCTCTTTGCACTGGATTTTCAAATTAAATATTTTTACTGCTTGTGTGTGTGTGTGTGTGTGTGTGTGCAGTAAAAAATATTTAATTTAAAAATCACAGTGTGTGTGTGTTTTTAAGTGATCTTCTCTTTCAGCACTGTTTCCCAACCAAAACTTCTAATTCCTTTTACACAGCACAACTCATGTTACCTATAGAGCAAAAGGCAATTTAAAAATCCCGAGGAGAAGCCAGTTATAAAGTTTATTTGTCGCATGTCTGATTAATGTGTTTGGGAATAAGTCTCATTGTACTCAGAGGAATAAATCTGTGAACAAACCTGTACGAGAGTGTGCTGTTAATAAATTGTATACTAGGAACAATGCTGAACTGCTACACAGGGATGTTACAAGAACAAATAAATTGGAGAATTGCAAAGCATTCTGCAAATGAGAACTACAGATAAACATTTTCATCACATGCCCAGGAGAAATGGGATAACAGGGAAAAAATGTTTCACATTGTAGTATGGCATTTGATCCACCTCAAGGAAACCGTTCTGTTCTTCTCTGACTCCTATAGGGAAAACTAGTTTAATTTGTGAATGAAGGTTTGATCTTTGGAATGTTTCTCTTTCATTGAAGCAAGATATTTAGCAACTCTTAAACTCCCTTTGATGTCAAAGCTTTTTTTCTTGTAAAGTTGGTGATACTTCCTAACAACATTTCCTAGTAACTACTTGTGGGAAGCATGTTTGGAGATGCAGAAGCCAAAGGTTACCTGATCCAGAGAAAATCCATGCTTGAATGGAGCATCACATATTTACAAGCACACTCAGCACTCATTTTTTCCAGTGACCAGGAAAATAATCAGGATAATGATCTATGACAGTGGTGGCGAACCTCTGGCATGGGTGCCAGAGGCGGCATTCAAAGCCCTCTCTGTGGGCACACGTGCCGTTGCCCCAGCCTTGCCTCCCCCCATGACCCCCTCACCAGCAGCCCTCCTAGAGAAGAGTCGACCCCGAGCGTGGCCCACGCGGAGCAGTGCAGCCAAGGACATGGCAGCCAGGCAGCATAGACAAGACTGCCCTCATGTCCCATCGTGCACAGTTGATGCTGCCGGGCGTGGGCAGAGGGCATGACTGCCATGGCGCTCCTGGGTGATTTGCGGTGGGCCCTGGAGGTGGTGAGTGGCCCTGCGGGCAGGCAGGGTGGAGATGGAGTGGGGGCGGGGCCAGTTTTTGGGCACTCGGTCTCTAAAAGGTTCGCCATCACTGATCTATGAGACATACAGTCCATCTGGAAGTGTGATTTTATCAATAAAAAGTGATAAAGTACAACATCATGCAGGATACCAAAGGTTTGATATATGTTGGAAGGAATCAAATATGGCTGATGAATAAAAAGAAATACCCTAAATGAGGATCTAAAGTTCCATGTTGAGGACTTGTCCCCAAGCAACTGGATCCCACAAACCTCCTTCTAAATTTTAATAAGATACCATGACAAGACTGATAAAAAAGCCAGAGTCCAACACTTCAGATTAAAAAGTAGAAAAGAGGGTCTAGGTATATGTGATGGTGTGTCAATGTGTTAGTTTGAGCATTTCTTAATTCTGCAGTTTACTATCCTGTTTGTTATTGTTTTCTGCTATTCCTTTTGGCACCTTTTTCATATTGGGAAATCTTTTGGAATCAAGATGGTAAAAGACACCTTTGGGTAGCTATTTGATTACAGATTTAGATTTTTAGATTAGTAATCTCTGCTTAAATTAGTCAGGAAAACTGTTGATCAGCAGAGCATACTGCTAAATAGTTGTACCGGAACTGAAAAATATATTAAAGGACCAAGTGTATTGAAGCTTTGAGTGAGTAAACATTTGCAATTATTGTACCACATATTGTTGTATTCTGTGATTATTGTCACCATGGAGGACAAAAGTCCTGGAAGGACTTTTTCTTCCTCATAATATTATACTAAAACTGAAGCAAGATTAAAATGCCATGACACTGTGGAAATGAAGCCATTTGGGTTTGCTATTATGCTGCTGGTATTTCTGTGGTGTGCTAAAGGAAAAAGCAGTTGTGATTGTCATTGCATTGAAAATTCTTGTTTGGACAGTATTACCCCAATCTGGTTAATTATAGTTGCATAATTATATTGCCGCATAACTGAGGTGTGCATTCAGCTACATATCCGAATTCAGACCTAAATGAGGATGTAGTCTAGGGATATGGAACCTGATTGCTTTTATATGTTTCAGGTGTCAGCTTCCATTAGTGACAGTCATCTTGGGTAAATGGAAAGATTGTGGAAGCTGTCAAATGAAGCTCTTTTTTTTTGCTAGCATTTTGAAAAGTTTGTTATGGTGGAGCAATGGGTCATATTCCCCTTCTTCTACTTATCTTTCTGTGTTGAAGCAAAAGTTTGTAAAGACTTTCAGTGCTCACCATATTCTGAAGCCTGTGTCTTGACCACATTCTTACCACATTCACTCAAAGCTTATTTTCAGATATTTCTGAAAATAAGTGGTTATAGAATGGGTTAGTATGCACATTCCTGGAAGGTACACAATTCCACTTGCCAAATGGCCAAAGAAGATTTAACCTTTGAAGCTTCTTCTTAAGTGAGTTGCATATTCTAATATGTAACAATATCACCGCTCATAGCTAGCACAACCACCTTGATTTAAAAGAAAAAGAGTATAATTTACTATCGGATTGGGGCCATTATATCAACATCAATCATCCTCTGGCTTTAATTGCCTCAAGCCTATTTTACATTTCCTGATGCTTCAAAAGGTGGAAGTGCTTTCATAACAATTATTGATATAAATAGAAATGGGCCTGGAAGAATGGTATATTTGTAATGGGTCACTGAGCCTGCCTAATATGCCTTATTGCTAGATATGCTACATTAACTGTCTCCATGTTTGCCTTGATCTTTGACACTACAAGCATTCCAGAAAAACTGAAACTTTTAATTAGAGACCTGTGCAGCTTTGCCTGTTACTAGTGTAATCATTAAATTGATTTTTCCAGTCCATCATGTAATTGTTCCAGCGAAGGAATCCTGCTTTCCACTTTTGTTCTGCTTCATCAATATTTTCTGTAAAACATGAAATGGGTGGCATTAATCTAAATTTAAATCTCTTTGTACATTAATTGAAAAATAATCCTGATTACCAATGCTGTTTTCCCCTAAATACACCACACACCATTTTGCCCTCCTTTTTGTCACCTGATTTATTGCAAATTCAAAGGGCAAAGTTTTAACTCTGGATTATAACATAATCAGTTAAAATGAAGAATTATTCTTCTGGCCCAATATGCCACATCATTTGCATTTTCAACTTTCACACCCACAAATGACATTTAACAAGGAGCTTACAATTTACTATTTGATGGCTGAGGTCCAGATGCAGACTTCCAGTTAAAGGATGCCATAAATTTTCATAAATTTATTTTCTTGGCATAATCAATTATCCATATTACCAATTGAGGAAGAGTATTTAAAATATAGCAACATGATTTTGGATATTATAATAGATCAACAAAATAAGAAAGATTTATATATCCAGCTGTTCAGAATGAGAAAGGATACACTAAGAAATTGCTAGAACTCGACACATACCGCTTTCGTTTTTAATTTTTAATCTACTAAATTGATAGATATGTTAATAACAAGGAAGGAGAAATTGTCCAATGATTTTTCAAGGTGACATCATCACATAAGTGACATGTTTATTTAATTGTATGACATAAGGACATGGCATGTCCTTTGTGAAATGGCTTTATATTTTACAGGTCTTCATTTATTCTCACCTTATGCTTCCTTAAGGACATATCATACCCTTACATCCTGGACATAAACTATTTCAACTCCTCCCCTCAGAATGCCACTATAGGGCATTGCATGCCAAAACATTAGATGGAGAGACAGGTTTTTCCCTCATGCCATCACTCTACTGAATACTTAATTATCATAGTACTGTCTTACGTCTAAGAATATCTATAACCATGTAGTATGGCTGTATTACTATTATCCTTCTCATTATTTTCTATTACCTTCTCCTATTGGTATCTAATGATTATATTAATTTGTTGTTTGTGTGTACACTGAGAGCTTATGCACTAGAGATAAATCCCTTGTGTGTCCAATCACACGTGGCCAATAAACCTATTCTGTTCTGTTCTGTTCTGTTCTATTCCACTCCACTCTACTCCACTCCACTCCACTCCACTCCACTCTGAAAGCAAAATATCTCCTTAATGTTAATAATAGCATCATTGTTTAAAAAAGGGTCAAGTTGAAGGACTGTTCTCATGTGATTTCCCTTGAAATTTATTGAAAGAATAATTCTTCCAATTTAGACAGGACATTCACACATATCTTGGGCAACGTGGTAATTAAATAATGCAAGAGCAAATCCCCAATTTTAATGGAACTATAACTAGGGATATTTTCTATAAGCTACAATCTGAAACAAGTAGTACTAGGGTGTCATCGTGCTCTTGACAGAATAAATGGCCTAAACATGAGATGTCACTTTCCACTGAGATTTTTTAAATAAATAAATAGGAGGAACAAGAATTCTACTGAATCCACCTTGTACATGACTACTAATCTCAAGGTGCCCTTGAACTATTTTTAGTATTCTATCTCAGTCATTGGTTCATACAATTTTATTAAACTATATTGCTTTGCAAAGCAGCTTTAAAGGGATTTAAAGCTTTACACAGTGCTTGTACAAATGTGATTTTAGAAATAATGGTCAAATTTAGATCTAATTATACTAAAGGTACACCAAATAAAATCACTGGAACTTAAGAAACCTTACCTAACATGAATCCTCATTCTTTTCAGCGTGTCTAATTATAACTAAATGCATTCATCATGTTATACTCTTTTGTGCTGCTGCTATTTTTGTATTACTGTTGCAATCTTTATATGAGCATAGTTGCTTGCATTGCTTTTTTCATACTACTGTATCATATTCACTGAGTTTGAGCAACAATGACTTGCTATATGCTAGTGGAAGCACTATCCAGATTATAGCATTAAAAGATATTCCTCCTTGCATGCAAAAAAAATTCAAGCATATAAAATAGGATTGGTGGGGGAGGTAGAAGTGGGGAACCTATCTGAAATTAATGGAGATTTATTTTAGTGAATATTATCTTTTTAGAATAAATGCTGTATTTGATTTTACAAAAATAATTATTTACCCACAAAGTCTTAAAATTGAAATTAAAATGTAGTAGTAGCAAGATGAACTTGAATTAACCAATTTACTGAATACAAATATATTTAGCAGCAAAATTACCTGTCATCTCCAGAACCTTAGGAAAAAGGATGTTCCAGAATCTACACGTCTGAGCACGCAATTTTGTTTGAATCTTTGCAGCATTTGTGCTTAATGCTAAGTAGTTTTGTTCAGCGGTTGTGAAGATTGGCCATCTTATCCCATTAATCTGACTTCCATTGGGTGTTCTGTAAGATTAAAGAAAAGTATTAGAGTCCTCATGGGAAATTAGCTGGGCATATCAGCCATAAAAAAAATCCTGTTGATCATTCCAAAACTTGGAAAGTTTGCATAATTCTATACATAAATAACAACATTCCTGGTGCCCTGGTGGTGCAATGGTGCAATATTGCAGGTTAACTCTGCCCATAGTCTGGAGTTCAATCCTGACAGGGCTCCAGGTTGCCTTAGCCTTCCATCCTTCTGAGGTCAGAAACATGAGGACCCAAATGGTTTGGGGCAATATGCTTTGTAAAGCACTATGGGATAGTATATAGCTGTGGTAGTGAACCTATGGCACGCGTGCCACAGATGGCATGCAGAGCCATCCCTGTGGGCATTTGTGCCATTGTCCCAGAGGAGGCGGGACCAAGCTGCTCTCCATGTATGGGTGGATCTGGGCTGGATGGTGGAGGCAGCTGCCAGTATGAGTCCAGGTGTGCCTGCAGAGCGATTTTGCGCCCCCCCCCCATGGCCGATCCGGGTGGCAGAGGCCTTTTCCAGGCCTCCAGAGCCCGGATCAGGCCACTGGGGCACTGCAAAATTGCCCCGCAGTCATGGATCTGAGCTTCACAGGCTTGGAAAAGGCCTCTGTCGCCTGGAACAGCTGTGGGGGAGGGTGCAAAATCACTCTGCAGCCATAGATCTGGACAGAAGAGGCCTTTTCCAAGTGGCAGCAGCAAGGCAATCCATGCAGCGGGTGGGGGGAAAACAGCGGTGATGGCAGCACAATCTATGCGGCGGGTGGGGTGGGGGAAATGGCAGCAATGGCAGCACAATCCATATGGTGGGTGGGTGGGAAGTGGTGGCGATGGCAGGGCGATCTGTGCAGTGGGTGGGGCACAATATGGGAGGTGGCAAACAGCTGTGTCATGCCAAAACTGGCCGTTGGCTGCCTCGTGCCCATTGTTGCTGCCATGAGGCCACGGAACAAGCCAGGCAGATGTAAGAAACCAGGTCATGGATCTGCAAGGGTTGGGCCAGAGCAGCAGGAAAAGGGTGTTCTGCAAGGGTTATGGCGGGGCAGTGGAAGAATGGTTCTCTGAGAGTGTTGGGTCGGACGCACATGGGGCTGCTGCCTTGCTTGCCGTGCTTTGCCAGGGCTGGGCTGGACTGGACTGGGTGCAGAGCCTCCATGCCGCTTCTTTCCCTGCAGACATTGGGAATGCCCACCCTTCGTCCCGGGACAGCTGCTGCAGTCACACGCTCTCTAGCCAGTTGGGCATGTCGAGCTCAGGCCTTGGGAAGATGGAGGCTGGAGGGGAGTGAGAGCCATGGCTGCCCAGCTCCTCCAGCTGAGGATGCATGCGGGGAGAGGCGCCGCCCAGCTTGGTAAGCCGCGGTCTGCTGGCAGGAGGAGGATGGAGGAGGAGGGATGGCCGGGGGTTAGCGCAGCACTGCCCACAGGGAGAATCTGACCAGTCCCAACCTGGAGGGGGGGAGAGGCTGTGGGAGCCCGAAGGGAGGTATCCCAGCATGCCTGACTGGCCAGCGATGGGCTAGAAAGTGCAGGACAGTGGCAGGTGCCCCAGGATGAGCAGTAGGCGGGGTGGGCGCTCACGATGTCCACGGGGGAAGAAGGTGCAAGGAGGCTCCACGCCCAGTCCAGCCCAGCCCCAACATGGCATGGAAAACGAGGCAGAAAACCCATGTGCATCCCCATGTGTGAGTGCACCCCCCTTGCCAGGCAAGTGGAGCCACGACATTTGTGGCAGAAGAGCACAGGCAGGCAGCAGAAGGCACGAGGAGCCCTGATCCCAGCATAGCCCCTCCTCACTCTCCTCCTCCCCCCCTCAAAAGAGCTGCAGGGCTCAGGAGCCTCCCCCATGCCCCCCCAACCCCCCAGGGAAGAAAACCATCACAAGACACTCTTCTGTTTTAACTTTTTTTCCTTGTTGCTTTTTGGAGTTTTCATACTGCTTTCGTGAGACAGCAGCATTTGGGAGCACATATAGCTGCCCTGTTCCCCCCAAGCCATCAGCTGAGCAAGATGCCCTCCTGCCCACTGCCACACCCACCAGAGGCCCCCTGGATCTCCCCCAACCCTGCCTGGCCCCCACAGGCATCCCTCCCCAGGAGCAACATCGAGCTGGCCATGCCCACCTTGGCCATGCCCACCTGTCTGCCATGCCCACCATAGCCAAGCCCACCCAGCGGGCCATGCCCACCTGGTAGGACACACCTACCTGGCAGGCCATGCCCTCCTGGCACCCGGCAATACAGAAGTGGGTTTTGGGTTGCAGTTTGGGCACTCGGTCTCTAAAAGGTTCGCCACCACTGGTATATAGTATTACTAACACAAATAGTAATAGCAAGAATGACAATATGCATTTGGAATGGATTGGATTTTTCTTGATGCATTATATATCATTAAGTAATCAAGTTATAAATTATGAAGATAAGTCCAAATTTTCAAGGGTAAAGAGAAATGTCTTGGATAACAATAACAAAAACAAATCCATTAAATGCTTAATGAGATTGCTAATGTCTCATTTGCATATGTGAATGACATTGCATTGTTTTGTTTCCTTTTAGGCAGAAATTTCTGTAACTATGTGCAGTGATGTAGGTAAAATGAATAATAAATATACTGATTAAAGTATGTTTTTTTTTTTAAAAAAAAGTTTCATAATGGAAGAAAGCATCTTTTACCTGTTGAAAGTAGATAAAGTGGGGAAAATGTCTCAGAAGTATTGCTATAAGCAAAATTCCCTACTGGAATTTTATTAATGCAAGTTTATACATTAAAGATCACTTACTATGCCTTGCCATTTACAATAGCATGATGGAATAAATCTGTGTGGATATGAATTGTGAGAGAAAAATTGACATGAAGAATGTTACGAAGAACAGTTACAGAAAGTGGGTATGTCTAGTCTAATGAAAAGAAGGACTAGGGAAGACATGACAGCAGTGTTCCAATATTTAAGAGGTTCCTACAAAGACAAGGGAGTCAAACTATTTTTCCAAAGCACCAAAAGGCAAGATGAGAAACAATGGATGGAAACTAACCAAGGAGAGAAGCAATCAATTAATGGAACAACTTGCCTTCAGAAATTGTGGCTTTCAAAAAGAGACAGCCATTTATCTGAAATGTTATAGGGTCTCCTACTTGAGCAGAGGGTTGGACTAGTTTATTTAGGAAGAGATAGTGGAGAAAAGGAAAGGGGCAGGATCATAGAAACAGAATAACAGAGTTGGAAGGGACCTTGGAAGTCTTCATTCTGATTTAATCACTGACCCTTTAATCCAATACAGATTGTTGAGGTTGAATTGCATACATTCTTTGAAGCTTCAAGCAGAATTTCAGGCAGATACCAGCGGTTATATATATGAGATTTACTGCATTTTAAGCATGCAGTTCACCATTGTTTTATGGTAATTCCACTTCTTGCCTTGACATATGCAATATGTTTTGATTTCTCCTGCAGGGTCTAAATCTTCACAGAATGTGCACAGATAGACTTTTCATAACAGAAGGATTGGCAATGTAATCTAGTTAACATCTATAGGTAGTATAAGGGGTTGCTCCCATGACCTTGTTTTTCCCCTAATAATGAACACTTTTCATAGTGGAAACACTTTACATACCTGAAGAACCATTTCATTCCAACAACAATGTCCTACCCATTTGTTTTAGCAGAAGGGGATGCTGCGGACCCTGTCAATCAAGGAACTCTCCCTGGTAGGGTCCTTTTCTGCCATTGTTCCTGCCCTTTGGAACATTGTGTCCCTCAAGGTGAAATCACTCCTCCAATCTTCCTAAAGAGTGTCAAAACCTATTTATTTACTTATAAATTTATAGGCTGCCCATCGTACCTCAAGGTAACTCTAGTTTTGTCTATTGGCCTGGACCCCCAATGTGGGCAATCCACACTGGCAGTGATTAGTGGACTGGGAAGAAAAGACCATCCTCTCACCCCACTGTATTTCTAAGTTATTTAATTTCGACTAATTTTATATTTGCTGTTTTAATGTTATAATGTTTGTATTTTTCTTTTACAATAGTGGTAAGCCATCCAGAGTCACCAAACTGTGAGATGAAAGATATATAAATTTAATAAATAAGTAATAGCAACAACAGTAAAATGTGCGTCTGAAATGCATACGCCAGGATCAATCCTGGACATCTCCAGTTAGGAAAGAATTAGTAGAATACATATCAATGGTGATAGAGACATAGAAGAGATACTTCTAGTTCAGTTGTGTATAAATAAAACAAATGAGGAAAATTAAAATTCCATTTTATAATTTGACATCTATTTTTCAGGAGGAAACTTTGCAAAAAGCTGGTGCGTAATCAAATCACAAAATAAAGGCCTAAAAAACATCAACAAAAGCTTCCCTTAATGTGGCTTGCAGAACTTTATGAATGCTATCTAATGACGTTCAGAGAGGGCAATGTAATAAAAAGGCTTGAATGTGCAGAATTGAACTTAGTAATTTGGTATTCTTCTCCATGGTATCGAGCCAGGAAAGCTGGCAAAGAAAAACTACCTCTTTCTGAGGACAGGAAAGGTTTAAGACTGTTTACCTACCTAAAAGGAAAAGATAAAGATTGGACATTTGAAGAAAATTTGGAGAATTGTAAATGTTTACTTCAGAGATTTTTCTCCCCCTCATCTTGAAAAGGCAGAGTTGTTAATGAATGCTACATTTACTTGCTGGAAGGCCTTGATAAAAAGGGATTGGATTTGAAGTCCATGTTCAGCTGAAGAAAAGAAACCCATTCAGGAGGTAAATTGTTTGATTTATACAAGGGCTGGATTATCATACTATTATTTCAAAAGAACAAAGATGCTATAACTACATGGTGTGACACTAGTAAATACCCAGTGATGCTGTTTGTTTTACAAAAGACACCCGTTGTTTTTGTTACAGCCACAGTAGGACACCTGTAACAACTCTCCACAGCAAGTATTCAGATATAACAGTGGAAAGAACTATCTAATTCTACATATGGTTTCAT